CCTGCACCTGATCTCAAGGTGGAATGATTCCAAAGACCTCTACCACAGATTATTACTCTGTAATATAACTACCCCTTTACTTAGTTGTGCTCTAAACTTTAAAATCTGAGAGCAAGACTGTACTGTTCGCCATCTCTACCCCAGTGATGAGCGCATGACCCAACACGGAAAATTCTCTATATATTTTTGAAGATTAAATGAATGAATAAATAACTAAATACTAAAATTCTAGAGGATCCACAACTCCACAAGTTTTCTCCTTAGTATCAGGACATATTCAGATTAAGGTTCTCAGAAGTAAATTTAGTTCAGATTTGTCTTTTTTTTTTTTTTTTTAATTTTTTTTTCAACGTTTATTTATTTTTGGGACAGAGAGAGACAGAGCATGAACGGGGGAGGGGCAGAGAGAGGGAGACACAGAATCGGAAACAGGCTCCAGGCTCTGAGCTGTCAGCCCAGAACCCGACGCGGGGCTCGAACTCACGGACCGCGAGATCGTGACCTGGCTGAAGTCGGACGCTCAACCGACTGCGCCACCCAGGCGCCCCAGATTTGTCTTTTTTTTAATATTTTTTTAAATTTATTTGAGAGAGACCAAATGTGAGTGGGGGAGGGGTAGAGAGAGAATCAGAAGCAGGCCCCATGCTGTCAGCGCAGGGTCTGACATGGGACTCGAACTCATGAACCATGAGATTATGACCTAAGCCAAAATCAAGAGTCGGATGCTCAACCAATTGAACCACTCAAGGGCCCCTAGTTCAGATTTATCTTGAAATAACAGTAAAAGATTAAGAATTGATCATCGGTTGAATGTTCCTCATAGACCTTAAACTTATAACTCAACCTAAGACTCCTACTGTGCTTTAATGCTAAAATCAGTCTGTCCCACGAATACTTATAGAAAATTAATTTCAAGTTCTTTCTACAGCTAATAACCTCCTGTAACATCTAGGCCACTGCTGCCTACATTTTGGAAATATTGGCATTCCAACATTTGGCATGTACTGTAGGCTTGGTTCCACCACAGGGACATTGTTAAAGAACTAAAACCATGCATGTCCTTTTGGACAAAGGACTGGATCACTTGGTGGGAGCAGTATAACAGAAAGCTTACAGCCATTGGTTGAGAGAGTGAGCCTCAGAGCCATTCCAGGGATGTTAGTTTCTAAGAGGGCAGGGAAAGCAAAAGCAGCTGGTTTTGCTCCCTAGGAGCCTCCTTACCCTCTTCAGCTTTGAGGGACCTTGGATCTCATCTCATTCCAACAAAAAACTGCTAATGAACTGAGACATCCTCTGTAAGGAGATGAAAGCTGTTTTCCCTCTTGGCAATTTATACTTGGTCATATAATACAGCTGGTCATATGATTTTGCTAGTACCTCTCTCTCTACAAAAGCAAATCTACATTTCGTGTTTGTTTTTAAAAATAAGTTTAACCTACGTTAATTAGAGTGTGAAGTTGAGTGAGTGAAGCTCTGATTCACCCCATATGCGTAATAACAGCAGCACTGCTTGTTGAGTGCCTATGAAGCGCCTTGTACTGCTAGGTATGGTACAGACAATATCTAACTGAACTTGGCCAGTCTGCCACCAGAAACAATTTCAATATATCACAGTGAAACTGCATGTGGCCCCTTCCTTAGCAAACTTATTCAATTTATTTAGCCTTATCACAACACACAAGAAAAAAACAAAACAAAACAAAACAATAATGGGGCACCTGGGTGGCTCAGTCAGTTGAGCGTCCGACCTCAGCTCAGGTCATGATCTCATGGTCAGTGAGTTCAAGGCCCACAACGGGCTGTGCGCTGATAGCTCCCAGTCTGGAGCCTGCTTCAGATTCTGTGTCTCCCTCCCTCTCTGCCCCTTCCCTGCTCATGCTCTGTCTCTCTCTGTCTGGTGAGAGATACAAAGATCACTGAGTTTTCCATTCTATTCTCTGAATCACTTTTCTTTCTGAATTTTTAAATCTAATTTTTCTATCCTATTTACCAATTAGCTGATATCCTCTTTTTTGTCTTGCCAGCCTCCCCTAGGAGTGTTTTTATTTTGTCACACAATAAAAGGGTTGACTGCTTTCCCTATTCCCAAATCTGAGAGCATAAAAGTTAAATAAAAATGATTTGGATATTGAAGACTTCTTTCTCTACACTGAGGTATGGGACTTTGCTGCAAGATAATTGATGAGTTACATCAAGATAATTGATGAGCTGCAAGATAATTGTAAATGTGTTCTTTATTCATTGCCTAAGTAAATTTAATTTAATTAAAACTTTCATTTTGTTAAATATAGCAGATTTCAGTGCCCCAGGTGGGTTGAAGGCCCAAGGGAAGTTCTTTTTTTTATTGCTTAGGGATTGCTTCTATGTTTTGTAGTTAGGTGGTCAGGAATTTTAAGCGTTTATATGAAAGTCATGGTCTAAATTTCTATTTTTTCCCCCAAGATTAATTGATTTAACAACAATTTATTGAGCACCTTTGTATCAGGTATCCTGTTAGGGGAGTGAGCAAAACAGTCATGGTGTCTGCCCTCACAGAACTTACAGAGTCAACTGGAGGGAACAGACATTGAACAAAAAGAATTACGATCCTGAAAAATGCCATGAAGAAGGAAGGGAAAGGTGCTGAGGGACTATGTAAGAGATGTAGCTAATCCATTGTGATTGGGTGGGTAGAGATGGTTTTTCCAAAGACGTTCAGGTTTAGGCTTAAAGCATGAGAAGGAAGAAGAGTGGTCCAAGAGAAAGAAGGGAACAGCTTGTGTAAAGTCTCTGAGTAGAAAAGACTGCTGCCCACTGAGAGACCTGAGAGAAGGTCAGTGTGGCTAGAGTGGTGACACCAGGAAGTGTCAGAGAAGAGGCAGGCAAGGGCCAGACCACGTAGGTCATCCTAATGATGGAGGACTTTATTGTAAGGGTAATGGAAAACGAATGGAGAACTTAAGCCAGAAGATAAAAAAAAATTTTAAGGCTTAATATGGCAAATATGTAGAATACAAAAATATATTAATTTACTATTCAATTTGTTCTGGAATGTGCTCTTACATCTAGCAATCCAATAAGAGTAGGAATTTTTATTAATATGGGGCAAACTATCTAGATTCTGACATGTAGAATTTTTCTGAGATGGCAAAGACCCTAGAGTAATTAAGCAAAGCAGAACAATCCTTGGGCATGTATCCTTAGCATGACTTGAAATGACATCCTGAGTTTCTTTACTTTCCATCTATATCATATCTTAACTCTAATTGCAAATAGAGGTGGTAAAATAATAAAGACAGGGAAAAGAAGGTGTGCATGTGTACATGCACATGTGTGGCCACATGTGGTTTCCCACGGTTTTGAAGAAGAGCAGATTTATGGCAAAGAATATCTGTATCACATTCTCTGTTCTCAAAAATAGTAGTCTGCCCTACAGAAATTAAGGAGGTACAGACCATAAAATAGTAAGAGATTTTTTTTTTCTTTTAGTTGAGTGTTTTAGGGAAAAAATGGCAGCTTCCAGGTAACATAACAGATTTTGACATGAAACACATTGATGTCAAACTAGGGATACCAGGATGGCTTCTGAAGTACTGTGCTTGTAGTAGTAAAGACATCCATGAACACTATAGCTTTTGGACAATATAGAGTATAAGAGACTAAAGAGGCTAACTTCAGTTTTCTTTTTTAATACTCTTCAATTTTCCCTAGGAGAATTTCTTTTTGTCTTCTCCAGATGGTTGGTGTCCATTAAATTAGCAGATAAGATTTTAAGGTGTGGTTCTTTCCCAGAGGTATTTTCTAATTGGGAATTGGGAGAAATTCTGGAAGATTAATAAGTTTCTCCTAAGTCAATATTAGGAGAATGGAGAAGGAGAATGCACTCTGACTACCATTCTCTGGTACCTCAGTGCCTCCAAAACCACAAGTTTTTTCTCTGGGGTCTTGGACTGCAAGTCTTCCTGATTGTTTTTCAGGCTCCGTGACTCCCTGGAAGGAGTGAATGAATAAATAAATACTTGGCAAACTGTTTGAGAAAGGCTGCTAACCTTTGGTCTATGAAATCTTGAGCAATAGGAGACCTGAGTTGAAATGTCATTTTGTATCTGACTCACTATTTGAAGAGAATGAATCACTCTTCTGATTGAATCACTTGGTTCCATGGTCTGAGGTGTGGTACTGAAGACAGCATGGACCTGCTTTACATACATTGTGTACTTGACTGCTGTAGTTAAGTCATTCTACTCATCAAAATAGAAACACATTTATTAAGTATCTAATTATGCACATGATTTGGAAACATGCAGAATATGTAGGCTAAAGATGAACATAAATTAGTGCTTGTTATGGTTTCATGGATCAGGTGAGATTGTCTATTATTATAAAAAAGGGAGGAGGCTTGCTGTGTATTAATTATCAGGTTACTGAAGCTCTGGGTAAATGTGGCAGGAATGTTAAGAGTAGCTTCTCAGGAAGTACTTGCTGTGTGGTTGAAAACTGGACACTGTTTACTTGGGCCAAAATGCAGTCATATCAAGCTATTTTTAGCAACAAAAGGCTATTTAAAAGTTTCAACCCTCTAGAATCTGACTCACAATGTCCTGATACTGTATTCTCTTTGTGATCAGAATCATGGGTAAAGAAATCTATCTTTTAGCACTGAATGAGAAAAGATTTGGGTGTGTGGTCAGACCTATGAGTATCACAAAGACTAGAGAAGCTACCATTTAAAAAAATGACTTTATGCTGCAATAGTTCTAAATTATTCCTTTTAGCTTGATATAAAGGAATATGAGAGCAAAAAGAAAATTAACATTTATCAAGTGCCCATGTTATATGTCAGTTATACTCAGTCACATATATCATCATTAAAGTTCACAGGAAGCCTATTTCCATTTTGGTCAAGGAAGAAACCGAAGGTTAGAGACTGAGAGGGAAGAGTTGAAAGGCACACTCAGGTCTGCTAGCTTTTGATCTTTCCGAAAAAATCACTTCGGTACAAACGAAAAACTTAAATCAGGTAGGATTAAGAGTTTCTCTTTAATTTCTTTTGGTTTAGATGTAATCTATATCTGCAGGGGAATGAAATGAATAAAAGCTATTATTACAGAAGCTTATATTCTACATATCTTTTGATGGAGAGCAGTAGAAAGAGACGAGATTGGAAAATGTACATTCAGCAATGTATAATATCTGGGCCATAATTTTTCTGAGTTTTATTGATTTTCAAAAGTTATTTTCAAGATGGGCATTGGTGTCTTACAACCTACAAGACGTAAACGCTACAATTCTACCTACTTTGTAGGGGCATTGTAAAGCTATTGAAGAATCTTACAAAATTCTTAGGAAAGCTGATATAAAATACAAAGATTGTATTTCTGATCCTCATCTGTGTACCTGGGGTACTTTGTTCTGACCTTAATTACTGCACCCATCATCTTGCATTCTTATCACTTCTCCATTCTCTGGTATCTCTACCAGAAGGTGGGTTTCTCCAAGATAGGGACAATGCCTCTTTTACCATGATATCCACAGTAACCTGGACAGAGCCTGAAAAGTAATAGATGCTCAGTAAATGTTTGTAGAAAACACAACAAAAGGATTCATCTTACTGATCCCAGTTTTCTTATTTCCAAAATGAGAAGATAGTAATAATCTCCTAGATTGCTTATCAGAAGTGTCATGACATATGCTCGAACACTGTTTACTGGATATTATGAGCCACAGACTTAAAAGGTGTTAACTGTGATGATTAGCAGTGCATTTCAGGAAAGACATGTAGGGTATTTTAGGTAATATGTGGTAATAATCTCCATCCTTGGGCTCTAGAGTTGACGGAAAGGAAGTACCTACATCAGAGATGAGAACAGTATTTCACTAGGTGGCTCTCTTTTCCGTGAGTGGGTGGCGCGTTGGTGCAGTGAGGCATCACAGGGGGCATTGTACAGCTGCAATCACCATGCCTCACACGGCAGCACAGTAGGCGCTGACGGCAGTAGGGGCATAGGTTAGTTTCTCTTTCGTTAAAGATAATCTATTCTTCCGATTTGTTTCAGCGTGGCCTGTACTTTCATTTTCTCTAAACGCATACATGATGTTCCAAAAAAACATTGGTCTAGTCTTTTAATAGGGTGTGGTCTCAGGGAAGGATCTTGAAAGTTCCTCCTCACCTAGCATGGAAGACAGCAGGAATCAGTTACTCAAACCGAGCTAAACTAAAACAGCCCATTAAAATCCTGATTTAAACTCGCTAGTAAGCCCCCCCCCCCCCCCCCCCCCCCCCGCGCGGGGACCTTATACAGTTGCACTGTCTAAAGTACTTTGAAACAGCTGCGTAGAAGACTCCACAATACGAATCGAAATGATTTGTAAAATGTCAAATAAGTCCTTCAAGCCATTAGAATTACCATTTCTCCAGTTGCTTCTCACACTCCATGTTATTATTGACCCCATTTCCTTATTTCAGGTTTTTAACCCCAAACCTGACATAAAATACACATAATAGACTTTCAGAAAAATTTAAGAATGAAAATCCTCTTCCTCAATGCCTTTCCTCGGAACTTCGCGCCAGTATCTAGGTTCTTCATTGTACTATTTCACCGCGCCAGTATCTAAGTTCTCGATATTTTTACCCAAAGTTTCCCTCTCCGACCCAAAAGATACAGTGACAAGTTCTAAAACAGAGCGGACCCATCAGAGAAGTCTGCAGAGGGAGGACCTCACAGGAAAGTCTTCGACAATCAAGTGGGACCCCCACTGGGGGGATGCCTCCGAGAGGGAGGGCGTCTCACCACGTCCCTGGCTCTAAACGCTAGAAAACCACTTATTAGTCTTCTAGGATGTTCCTACTTTTACTCTGGCTTCCCCGCGGCAGGAGGTGGCTCGGTTGCCGAGGGTGTGTATCGGGTGAGCTTTGGGGGATTTCCGTAAGGGGTCGACCCACCAGGAAAAGTCTAAGGAGGTCCCTGCCCGGCAGGAGAGGAATCTGGGTCGTCGTGTGCCGTTCTCCTCCCTTAGGGACCCCGTCCTGGCGGGATCCCGCCTCTCTGAGCCGGAGGCAGTCCTGGGGAAACCCCTCGCCCGCCCGAAGCTTTGCGCCGCCGCCTCGCCCTCCTCGTTCCAGTCCGCAGCTCGCTAGCCTTCAGGCCTGGCGTCTTCCTCGCAGGCCCGGCCCTCTCCACGCCCGGCACTGAGAGGAAACTGGAGGTGGTTCCAGCCCGCAGGCGGGTGGAAAAGCCCACGGTGAATGCCTTGGGGCCCCCCTCATTGTTGCGGGAAGGGGAAAGGGAAGAGGAAATGAATCTCACCGCCCAGTAGATCACCCGGATTCCCAACCTGGGGGAGGCCTTTAGACGGAAGGGAAGCCAAGGGGGAACCCTGGGCACTTTCCCGGGAATCCATTCGCCAAGGGAGGGTCACCCAGTCCGCACACATTGGTTACTATGACAATACAACCACAGCCTCCAGTTGCCATGGCAGCTGCTTATCCAATCCGATTGGTTTCCTTTCTCTTCCTCCCTGGGCTCCACCCCATCCCCTCCAACAGCCTCCTGGGGTGCAGGGGGAGGGGCCGCAGACAGGGGAGGGGGTTCTTAGCGTCACACTCCGGGGCGCGAGGGAAGACTAGACTTGAGGGACTGGCGGGCGGAACTGTAGGAGGAAAGGGTAGCGTTTCCGGTAGGAAAGAGTGGAGGAGTGGAAAAAGGAAAAGAGAAATCGGGTGGAGTGGAAAGACGGGGGAAGACTTTGAGTGTAACTCCTGGTTGATTTGGGCTCGATGTCCCTGGTGAGGCCGGGGTTACCCCCTCGCGCGGGAGAGGAGTGGGTTGGCCGGAAGCCGCCAAGCGCCTCCAGCCGCCCGCTCGGCAGCCGCACAGGGACCTCACCGCTAGCGGATCCCAAGAAGGAGCGCCACAGGGAGGGAGAAGTCACCCGGAGGGACGGGCGCCACTGAAATCTCGCGAGAAGGACACCCCCCACTTCCTTCCTCTGCTTCTTCCTCTTTCCCCGCCCCCTTCCCTTCTCCCTCCCCTTCCCCCCTCCCGGGTCGGAGTGTCCCTGCGCCCCACGGGCCGGAGCAGCAGCGAGAGCAGCTTTCCCCGCTCCCCCCCCCCCCCCCCACCCCCCCCCCCCCCCCCCCCGCCCGCGGAGCGAGGAGGAGCCGGAGGAGAGGAAGATGGCGGCGGCCGCCAGCACCCGCGGTGCCGCGGGGCCGCTTCGAGGAGCCTGAGAGACCCACAGAGGCTTCGCGGGAAGACGCGGCAGCGGAGGATGAGCCTGCAGAGCGCGCAGTATCTCCGGTGAGTGCAGAGGTCGGCCCCGTACGTGGGGGGAGCGGGTTGAAGGTTCGGGCAGGGAGCAACAGACACAGAGGTGGTGTGTCGGCGCGGCGGGGGAGTTGCTGTGTCCTCTCCTTCCCCGGCGGGGAGGCGGGGGTTGCGAGGGGATCCTCGGGGATCCGCGGGAGGGGGCGGGGCGGGCACACTCACGAGTGCCTAGCCCCCGCGGGCCGGGCTGAGTTCCAGCGTAGCCAGCTCGTCCCGGTGCCGGGAAGGAGGTTAGGAGAGCGTGAGAATGTGTGTGTGCGCGCGCGCCCTCGGGGTCGCGGGCTCGCAGGCGAGGCGGGGGCGGGGGGGGGGGCAGCGGCGACCCCGAGTGGAGGTGGGTGTGGAGTCTGATCCTGGTGGCGGGGGTAACGTTGTGTGGTGTGGGATTGGCTGGAGCGTTGCTTGGGGGAGAGGACGAGGTGGAAGTCCGCACACCTGGGGTAGTGGTGGAGGGAGTGCGGAGAGGGAGAGAGACCTCTGGAAACCCGAGTTTGTTCTTTATACTCGGGTTGGAAGTACTGAAGAATAATGTCATCTGTAGTTAGTTGGCGGGGTGGGGGTGGGAGCATAAAGAGGGGGAATGGATGAGGAAGTGAGGAAAGAGGGAGGTACTATGGACGGGGTTGGGTTCCCCAGAAGAAACTGAGTTAGAATTAGTGTAGTCAGATGATACCATACTGAGAGTTGTGTACGTTCATTAAGAGTGTTGTAAGGAACTTGTATGTCGGAGGTAGACTGACGCATGGGTACAGAGTGTGTGAGAGTATGTGACGGGTGTCTGGGGTGGTGTGAAGGGAGCGACTGATAAACATTTTAGGAACGGGAAGATAGATACATTGCAACCAAGTACACGCTAGTGAGAGCATATTGAATGGAAAGACACCAGCAGCCAGGAAGGTTCCATGGAAGCAGAATAGGAGCTTGGACATAGAGGTAAAAGAGGATCAAAATTTTGATGACAGAGAAAAACAAGGTGGTTAGAGTCTGAAAATAATTGGAGAGTTGCTACTTCTTAGAAAAGGGGAAGGAAGACCTTAAAACGGATCCTTTTTGTCCTTTGGGAGCAGAACTAAGAAAGGCAGGCTAATGGGAAGATGTTTAAAAAAATGGTTTCATACCTTGTAGAAGAGGGACTTGGTTGGGGTAGAAGTCTGAAATGAGCAGAAAAATCGCTTTAGCTGTTTAGTGAAAATATTGTTGTGTGATTGGCTTCCTAAACACATATTACAAGAGAAGGTAGGTAGTGATACAGGAAGGTGGCTGTTGTACTTATGAAAGTAGTAATAGTTTCTTTGAGCAGAGTGTGGAAAGGAGAGAATGGTGAGATCTTTGAATTGTGGTTGAATGCCTGAGTTTAACAGACAGGGTGCGCACAACATGTGTGCCCAATGACTGACTTTGGGTAGTTGGAACGATATCTGTAATATTACAGTCCTTTTTCTCCACTATTATCCTTGTATTGTTTAACATGTCAGATAAACTTAATAAATAAACTGTGAGAAAGATCTATGGTAGATGTTGTAGACGGATGTGGAAACCATCAGGACAGTACTTAATTTTAAGGAATTTGCAGTTATTATTAATAATAGCATGGAGTAAAATAAGGCAAGTATCATAAAAGATGCCAGTGTCATTAAGAGTTCAAAGACACGAGATTATTTAAGCAATTGGGGGGAACCAGGAAAAGCTTCCTTTGTTCATTTGCTCATTCATACACTCATGATTCATCAGTCATTTTGTTGATCACCTATATGGGAGGTATTGTACCAACTGCTGAGAAAAGAACTCCACCCTCTTCTTACAGAGTTACAGTTTGTTAGGTTTCAAGGAGAAAATGGAAATGGACCTTAAGTATAAGCAGTATTCTGACAGGTGTGGACTGAGAACAGAATCCAAACGGAAGGAAACTGAGCAGAATACTCAGATAAGGGAGTATGGGAGCTGGGGAAGGTATTCAGACTAGTTAAACAAGAATATAGGGTGATGCAGCTGGAAAAACTTTTAATAGACTTTTTTATAGATTAAGTTTGATCCCTTCCTTTCACAAATGAAGAAAGTATAGATAGCATAATGAAGTCAAAATTGTTGAGGACCATATAGCTGGAACGTGGAGGCTCTGTAACTCACATGTAGGTCTTCTGACTCCTGTATCAGCCATACTGTGTGGCATGTCTGGGTTTATCCATTCTTACCACAAATATGTATTGAGAGCTTACTGTATGCCAGTCACTCCTCTAGGCACTGAGGATACAACGGTGAATGAAAGAGTAAACATAGGAAGGTATATTCTGGTAGAATTAGGCAATCGGTAAACATGAACAGATAACTATGTCAGGTGGTGACAAGAACTAGAAGGAAAAAGCAAGATACGGATATCTTCTTTTATATAGACAGGGTGATCAAGGAGAGCCTATTTAATAAGGTGCCTGTATTTGAGAGGGTCTTGAATTGTGATCTGTAGTTAATAGTTGAAATGGATGGATCATGGAGAATCTGAGATGATTTGTTTAGAAGAGCATTCACATGCTCATAGATAGGATTAGGAAGATGAATCTGTGTACTGTAATAATGGGCAGTTAGGACCAGAAATAAGGCGGTAGAGTAGAAAGGTAAAAGCAGACTGGGAGAGAGGTGATCATTTTAATGGGAAGATCAGATGGTTTTGAGAGGCTTCTCTGTTAATGTGTTTTATATTTTGTAGATTATCATAGTAGGGAAGACTTATCTTTAGGTTGTGAAATCAGTGGTAGACAACTTGAGATGAGTTTAGTTCCTTGAAGAAGGGAGAAAAGAATAAGAAGGAACACTGTTTGAATAACTTATATTTTACCGCTAAAGTTGAATAAGCAAAACTGAACAGGCACCAGTGTTTTCTCAGTCTTGCACGTCTGTTCTAAGTAAATAAAGCAAATCTTAGGGCTAACAGTTGTCTGGGACTTAGAGGGGATAGGGTAATAAAGACTTGCACCAGCCCAAATTTCCCTCTTTTTCTTCTTCGGATAATCATTCCATTTAAAGTCTGCTGTGAGGCGGCTAGAGACTGTCTTCAGGGAAACATCATGTTCACTCTCTTTTCTTTGCTGGAAACCAAACCTTTTGGTTTTTAGACAACTTGGGGAGGATGTTAGATACTGCTGAACAAGTGTGGTTGGGGGTATGACAGCTATTCTTTGTGACCCTTGACTTTAGGGAGAATTTTGTTGCCTACCTTTCTCAGTGGTATAAGACCATGACTGGGCAATTTTTAAACTGCATAGCTATAGATCTTTCCTCATGGAGATGAAAATTAGCTTTGTATCAGCTAGATTCATTTGCTGGAGTAAATGAGCTGGGGTGTCTGGCATTGAAATGGTGCATTGTTGGTGGCAAACCAGGGAGTAAGATGGCAGTTTCAGAAGAGTGAGATAGGAGGATATGAGGTTAAGAAGCATCAGTAAGACGAAGATAGAGAGTTCAAAATCAAGGGGACTGAATTAGTCTTGAGTTGCAGAAATAGAGCAGAGATGATAGGAAAGAAAACCTATCTTCTGTTTGGGAAAGAAGGTAATGTTGTGAGGAAATTTTTTGTTGTTGGAAGAGAAATTTTTTTTAAAGCAGTGTCTTTTTTTTTTTTTTGAAATAGCAGATTGACAAGATTCCTAAGTGAATAAATTAAGAGTACTTTTCTGCATTTTATAAAAATAAGAACTGGTCTTAAAATAAGGTTCTACAAAGAATATGATTGGAAATTTATTTCTCGAAGAAAAATTCAGTCTTTTCTCTTGATTTATGGCAAAATAGAAAGATCTTAAAGACTTTGACACCTCTGTTGAGTGAAAGAAAATGGAATTTTGAATATTGTCCATCTAATAAGGGTGGAAGAAGGGTAAAGATAATCCATGGATGAGATAGTAGGTGATGGAGATCATGCTTTAAAAGAATAGTATTTTAAAGGCTAGAAATACGGAAATCAACATATCAAAGTTGGAAATGCAGAGATAGGGAAAGTATTGAAGTACCAGACAGGGAAGACATCATCAAAGTTGTTTGGGAAGTCGAGAAAGTAGAATAATCATAGCCAGAGGGAATACCAGCCAAACAGGTCAAATCCTATTATAAAAGGTGGCATAGGTGATACTGAACAACATCTGCTTCTGTCACTGTACTCCCTCCACCTCTTCCTTTCCTTCCTTGCCTATTTTTGTCTTTTTTTTTTTTTTTTTTTTCTTTCTATGCTGTAGGTTTGCCAGGGAGATCCACTTAAAGTTGATCCTTGGTATTAGACCACTTTACAAGAAACATCTACAAATTGTCTACTTTGTTAGAATTTTTTTTTTTTTTTTTTTTTTTTTGCATGGTCCTTCTATTAGCAAAGAGGCTGCATTACCCTGGCACACTTTGCCAGAAACTTTGTTGCCAGAGGTAGAAATAATGTAACAGACACAAGGTGGTTTTCTGAGACAACAGAAAAAGGGTTGTCATTTAAGTACTAATTAAAATTCAGGGGCACCTGCGTGGCTTAGTTGATTGACCTTCGACTCCTGATTTCAGCTCAGGTCATGATCTCATGTTTTGGGAGTTCGAGCCCCACATTGGGCTCTGGGCTGACAGTGTGGAGCCTGCTTGGGATTTTCTCTCCGCCTCTCTCTCAAAATAAATAAATAAAATAAGTTAAAAATTTTTAAGTACTAAGTAAAATAATCCAATATGTTAAGATAAAATGTGTCACAGTAAATCTTGGGACATAGGGAGATAAAAAAGGTAGAGATAAAGGAGCAAGCAGAGCCTTATCCTAGCCTGGGGAGAAGAGCAGGGAAGTTAGTGGGAGCAGTTTGGGAGGAATATGTGTACTAAGTAGGTTCTGGAAGATTCTGGTAATTCTGGGCTGGGTATTCACTGTCTCTGGAAGCTTCAAGAAATCCTATACACATGCTGATCCTAATTCACATGGTCAACAAGTCTTCCCCTGCCCCAGACCCATTCATGTTTTCCCT